CAGACAATAATACCAAATCATATATTCCTCCTAAACAGTACTCTCCCTCATCTGTTACAATGCAGTATATATTGATTATCCCCTCTTAGTTCCCCCCAACTCCAGGTGTCCCGCTTTTAAAACAGTGGCACTATGCGGCAATTCCACTACTGACAATATACATGAAAGAAACCAGAACTACCACCCAAATAGATATATGCTCACTCATGTTTACTGTGGCTTTGTTTACAATAGCAAAGAGTTGGAAACCGAAGTGCCCGTCAACAAAAAAAATGGACAGAGAAGCTGTGGTATATTTATACAATGTAATACTACGCGGCATTGAAAAACAAGGAATTCATGAAATATACAAACTGAGTATATTTTTTTTAAAAAAAGTGAACTGGGGAGAGAAAGGAAAATGTGCAACTATAAATGAATGAAAATCTAACTCTGCTGTAAATTTTTGTTAAAATCATAATTTAAAACAGCAAAACAAGAAATTAAGAGATGTACTAGACTGGGCAAATCTGCTGATAAACAATTCTTTTAAATACTGAAGAACAACAACAAAAAAATTTTAAAAATAAATAAATAAAATACTGAAGAATAAGGATGTCAGTTTAAAGACTAAGGTGCATCTGACCCAAGCCATAGTATTCTCCATCCCATTACTTCATATGCATCTCGATGTTGGCCAATGAAGGGAGCTCTGGTGGGCTAGTGGTAAGAAGTTGCACTGCAATTCAATGTTGACCAATGAACAAGAAAGGCCAAAGATGCCTTTGAATTGTGGTGCTGGTGAAGAGTACTAAACATACATACCATGGACTGCCAAAAGAACAAAATAAGTTCGTCTTAAAGAAGTGCAGCTAAGACACTTCTGAAAGGTAAAAACGAAAATATTCTCGTCTCACATACTTTGAGCATATTATCAGGAGGGGGCCAACCCTTGGAAAAGGACATAGATGACTAGACAGGTTGGAAGAAGATCCTCAAGGAGATAGAATGATGACATAGTGACTGTAACAGTGGGCTTAAATACAGCAGAGATTTAAGTATGCAGCATCACGCAAGGCTTTGATCTGCTGTACACAGGGTTGCTATAAGCCAGAGACAGCTCATGATACCTATCTAAGAAAGAAAAATGCCACCCCGCCCCGCCCCCAGTGATTGTTAACATACCCCATTAGTCTTTCTCTCATAGGTGATGTTCAGCTGTAATGCCATGCTGGCAAGTAGACAAGTTTCATTACCGGAGCTCACATTGTACTTATGCACCAAGGGGTTCTGCGGCACCGGAGAAGGGGATGGAGTGGTAGTAGGCTTGGGACTCGGTGCTGTTGTTGGGGTGGTTTCATCTTGCTTACAGCGTGTCTCTGGAGGAAAAATGGAAATGAATCATTTAGGCACAGGAAATAAATGTAAAATCCAGATTTCTCAGAGCTATCAGAAATTAGAAAAAGATTCATACTCTGAGCCTAGAATTTAAATCACTCTTTGAACACACAGTATTAGTCTCATAAAACCCTATAGAAAATGACATGACTATTTCCTCAATTCTCCCAAGGACAGTACATTGCTAATGCCTTTCCCAATACAGCAAAAAGGTTATTTATTATACACAGTAAATGTTCAGTGTAGCAAGGTCTATTTGTCCCACAGAACAGCTTAAAAAGGGGCTGTAGAAAACCAACAGGGAATTTCTGAAGCACAGTCAACCCAATGATCTTCATAATTCTACTGCCACATCATAACTCTAGTTGAAGGTTCTTCATTACTGTATCTTCTATGCAACTGTTTACACTCATATCATCACTCTTCACTTCAATGGGTCTGAGCTTTGTTTATGGTATTTTATCCTCTTCTTCATGACAAAACTCTTTGTAGATCATGGAGAGTATCTTTAATTCTCTCCTGAAGGAACTAAAGTAGAAAAGTCATGCTATTTGAATAGTTAACAAGTGTGCTATTTTGAAAAGGTAATAAAAATGTATTCTATGTCAGATATTGTGTTAGAAATTATTATAGAGAGAAAAATAACAAATGGCCTTTGAGCTCATGGGTCTAGGAGGAGAAACAGACCTTAAAAGCATACACATACACAATTACAAATGATCCTTTTAAGGAAAGGGTGCTGTAACTGGGAAAAGCAGAGGACCTCCTTTGATTGGGTGCTGAACTGAGTCTGAAAGATGAACAAGAGTCAGTCAGTTTCATTTATGATGGATACAGTGAAGGCACAGGTAAGCATCTAGTTTCGGAGAAAGTGCAGAGAGAGAGAGCGAGACAAAGAGACACAGAGAAAGAGAGAGGAGAGAGAGGGAAAAGAGAGGGGAGAGAGAGGAGAGAGGGAGGGAGACAGGAAAAGAGAAGGAGGAGAAGTGGGAAGTGGTGGGAGAGAAAGGGGAGGAGGAGGAGGGGCAGGCTGAGAAAAGGCAGGAAGAGGGAACCTCTCCAGTTCACACCTGAGAGCGGCTGTGCCAAGGGACTCATACAGCTCACTTTTGTTTCCTCTCCTGGTTTACTCTCACTAAACCAAACTGAGTTTTAAAAATCATTGGAATCATCTTCTAACCTTTCCCGCCTTGTAGCCTACACTGGAACCAACCCTTCCCCAACTTCAATCTTCAACTTTAAGAGAGGCCAGATGGCTTCATGGCAAGGAATTGTACTGCCACCCTAAGGTACACAGTTCAAACCCATCTGCTTCTGAAAATTGGCTGGAGGCTCAGTTACTAGTTGATGGTACTAGTACTGGATGGTACATAACCACAACAAAGCAATTCCAATTAGAGATGGTATATTTCTTTGGGACTTTACTCTTTTTGATAATCCAATCCCCTTGATGTGGGTCCTTACAAGGGTTCCCCAACTTACCATTTCATTTCCATTTCCATCACTATTCACATTGAGTCCAAGGACACAAGAAAGCAGCCCTCAGTTCGTATCCTCAAACAGAGAGAGATCTAGAGGGGATGGGTCTGTGCGTGGTTCCTGCTTCTGTTGGGATTGTAACTAGTCTGGAACCACTGTCCCCAAAGGAAGCTCCCCACTGCCAATTCCTGTCACTCTGTTCCACAGCTGCCCCACTGGGGGTGTGTACAAGCTCAGAGCTGGCACTCGGGACCAGCTTTTCCATCTAAATGAGAACTGTGTAATCTCACAGCCCAGCACACGGAGCTCCTATCTCCTGAGTGATTGACAGAGAGGTTTCCTCCTATTTGCCCCTCATTTTTGAAAGTTAAATTTGTTTTTCTCATTGCTACCTCTCTAAAGTACTCAGGAGCAACGGTGTCTCTCTGGAGACTAAGGTGCGCCTGATACAGGCCATGGTCTTTGCAATCACTTGTTATGCACCAGAGA